AAATTTTTGAAGGAAAGTCTCAAGAATCGATCATCAAACAGTAATTGAACAAGCACTGGACGTCCACCGGTTCAGAATATCGATTCCCAAAACTTCATTCACATACATTGCGTTCAAAAACTGACTACTATGTTTGTTACACCCGTAGAGCTCTGACGAATTGGAGAGAAAGGCTGCTTTTTAAAAGAAGGATAAAGAGTTACATAGCATCCGAATTTTCTCCGTTAAATGTTCGGGTGCAGCGTTAGGTATGTACCCAGCCGAAGTACGAGGAATTCGTATTCCGGCTAATTACGAACAACCCAAAGAAAACTACCTGGTAAATCCCTCAAGATATTCTAACTAACGTTAAATCGTTATAATGCGAAATATACGTTATTCGATGCTAAAGGGCATATGCAATTTTCGAAAAAGAGAACTGTCCGTGTATCTTTTAAAAACCATGACCAATGTCTTTTCTACTCATTACGCGTAAACGTGCAAACTCTTTCTTCGTTCATATAAGTTGTTAAAGTTTTATGTTTAGGTGAACGTCAGTAATTTGAACAGCAAAATGGATTAGGTATCAAATCGTTTTAAATAATTTTCAATTTTGTTTATCTACAGCTATAACTCATTAGCGTCCTTGTTATTATTATCACTCCGAGTTAAAGTACTTGCTTTTTGATATTAATAGAGTGCAGAAGTGCACATCGTATGACTACTCACATTCCAATTTTCCATATCATATTTCGGTAGTAAAAGCCACTTCTAATATGAGATCCATTTAAAGCACACATGCTTTTGAGTTTATTCACAAAAGTGCTATATCGCCTAGAATTTGTATAGATACTTTCCAGTAAACATTAAATGTTTTAGCATATGAAATGTCGGGAGCGATGATTGATAAAATGCTAATCAGCTGCCACATTTTATATAGCAATGTATGCATTTTGATAGCTGCGTTCTGGAGCTTTTGCACAGTGAATATCGAGCATGTAAATGCCTCCGCTCGTGACATTGGCTGCAAAGTTCGCTACTGGGATCAAAATTCATGACTAGATGCAGCATGTTACACGAGGCAGAGGTCTTGGACAAAAATACGTTTTGTATGTCATAATAGTGTCCATTTGCTCCGGCTTTATTTCTCATAGAGAGCTAAATGCTACATCTACATTCCCACCAATATCTGAAAGCTTCATAACGTTGACAGCAGTGTGAAATTAGTAGCAATCTCTTTTTTTATTTCGGTTAGCAGTGTCTCAAACGCTGTATATTTGAGTCTCGAAATTCAATAGCTGTCCCGAAACAACATGGAAGTGTTATAGTCTTTTTTAAACAACGACGAAGAAAAAAGAAAATAAACAAGTGCTCCTCTTGGATCGACTTGGTAATATACATTTGTAGTATTATTAATGACAGCTGTTTTTGCGACCATGAGCTGATTTTCATCGATATCCGGTATCGCGACGGCACCACAAATGCGGGATTTCGACAAGAGCGCGATATCTACCACTCCTGCTATGGCAGCGCCAATTTTTCGATAAACGTGATATTTCTCCTGATTAGAAGGCTTAACAGTAGGCACGGATCAGAAGTAACGATGCCGCACGACGACGTCAAGCACTGCAAGAGTCAGCTCCCGTCTTTAATCCTGTCACAGTGTTACTTATGGCATCGTGTAATGTATCTGCCGCCACTCCCTCCACCCCCCTCCCCCACCACTTAGGGTCGCATTCACTAATCTCCCCGCTGGAGAGGGGATCGCAGCTTAAAAGAAGGCTTTATATTTTGAAACTTCAGATACCTAGATTCACGTTGTGTACCTATCCATAAGTATTCCTACTACCCTTCACTATGAACATGTTGAACAGGAGCGAGAAGCTGTACGAACCACATTTTCCAGCTTTTGTATGATCCCTGATGATTCCCTGCGCTTTTCTTTGAAGTCATTTTTCTTTCTCCAAAGTTAACGAAAACCTTCCAAAGTTGTACTCAGCATCTAATACAACAGTGCTAAGCATGTTGCTGATGAGAACAAATGAGTTTTTGAAAAGTCGAATTTTTCGGTAAACCTCAAATTTCGACTAACTTCAAAACATCATTTGCTCTTATCACCAGCATGCTTAGCACTGTCGGGTTAGATGTTCAGTACAATGGAAGGTTTTCGTTAACTTCGGAGAAAGAAAAATGACTTTATAGAAAAGCGTCCGGGATCATCAGGGATCATACCTGGAAAATGCGGTTCGTACAGCTTCTCGCTACTGTTTAACATGTTCATAGTGAAGGGTAGTAGGAATACTTACGGATAGGTACACAACGTGAAATCCACATATCTGGTTTCGATAAAGCTTTCTTTTGAGCTGCGATCCCCTTCCCGCGGGGATGTTAGTGCATGCGGCCCTTAGACTGCCGATGTGCTACTTCAGCACAGGAGAGTCCTTGTGGGACATGGGACAGAATTATCTCTGTGTGTGGGGCAGAGCAGCCGCCGCGCGCAGTTTGATCCCTAACTTGTGGCTCTCAAAAATAAATTTCTTTTTCATGGCACCTCCTTATACACTTAAATCGCTAGACTGATTACTTGAAATCTGTCGAGACAGGCCTCAGAAAATAAAAAAAAACACATGGCAGAAAATATGGCCCTTTTCGACAAATGCGAAACACGGCCTTTGTCAACATCTTGGGGCTCCGAACTGCAATAAAGCATCTCAAGCATATGATCAAACCATCAAAGATAACGAAGCGAAAATCTCCACCACAAAATGTAACAGCGAACAGAATTCAAAGCCGTGGATTTTGTTTAAGCTCGATCTAAGAGATAATAGACCAGCTGATGCCGAATATCGGGTGTAGACCCTTTTGAACCCTTCGCGCGCGATGCCCGTTCGCCGCGTGCGACGCCCCTGGCTGAGCTAACAAATGCATTCACAGTCAACGGGGAAAATTCTTGGTTTGAAGCATGTAATATACCTGTGCCAAAATCTATCATCATGTTGGACACGAAAGATGTGGAAAAATGAAGATCCGTCTTACTCACAGCCTTGTCAATGTTTGTGGACATGTTGGTCAGAGGCGCGCCGTGATAGCGAGGGGTTCAAAAGGGACGTTTCCCCCGAATATCAGATTAGTTTTGCGCGATAGCGCCGTTTTTTGGAATTACGGTGGCTATACGGTAGGTGGTCAAAATCATGGATTTCGAGCTTGGCTCAGGGGCTATTCGACAGCTAATCACTAAAATCGTACTCTTTTCGCATGATGGGGCCTTTCTGTGAAGTTATTGTAGGTTTACGGTATGGGTAAAATGTGTCAAATTTGCCCGAAACTTTACTTTTGGTGTTGGGTGTAGACCGACTCGCCATACCGTCATGCCTTACATACAGGACCATCGTCGCGCACGACACACTCTGCAGCAGCTTTTCTTAAGCAAGAACAGACGAAGAAGATTTGCCGCTACCGTACGCTCTACCGTATACCTAATATCCGCACATGAAAATGTCTTCGTGAGGTAAAACGAAACATCTGTGATCAGCATGTCAAATTACCCCCCCCCCCTCCCCCTGCCAAGTTTCGGGCAAAAGCTTAGGATGAAGCTTAGGATACGATAGCGCCATTCATAAATTTGATTCATGCTGCGATTAACGTTAGGTATTCTGTGCTATAAAGATCTGTAACCAAGCTTGGACTACGCTCAAATAACAACCGAGGATAAGATTAATACTCCGATTTTCTCGGCATTTTGTGTATCTCACAGTGAAAGGAGAGCTTCCAGAAAGAGGAGTAGAAGTACGCGAAGAGTGCAGGGATCATCGTGTGCACAACTTCGCAGGCCTTGTTTTTATCATTGTATCTCGTAATTTTCCGTTTTCGTCGCAACATATTGTCATTTTTTGGGTGGAGGACTATATGTCGCCGAAAAAGGGCTGTCCCCGCGGTCATTTGCGACAAATACACACTCTTGTACATGCGCGGACATGCGTTCCTGCAGGGAATCCGCGCGGGACTCTTCCAAATTCGGCGACATATAGTCCCCCACCCTCATTTTTTGCTTCTATGCTCATATGCGATCTGCCTTAATACCAGATACGATTTTTTTGCAGCAAAGGAAGGGGATGTCAAACCTTCAAGCGCTTTCCTCACGACACCTTTCATTTTATCCAAGCACTTCGGATAGTTGATTCCGAATGTCATGATTCATTATATCGACTCGTGTTCCCATGGACATAATACGGAATGCGCCAACGCGCTATTCACACAAACTGCTCTCAACCTCTACAATATACGATTATCCTTACGATATTCATCCTTAGCTGGAAGGAGGAAGGGCACCACCCGTTCTCAGAACTCACAAATGAAATAATTAGGTCACAATTTTTTTCGAAAAACCTCAAACCTCCAGTTTGTCTTCTATCTTGAGGTGATATTTTGAAAAGACTCAGATAGTACTGAAGTAGAGTTTCCAGAAAGGAGAAGCTCAGAGATGCAAAAGCAGGACTAATAAGCTAAGCATACGGTAGCGCTCGCGCGCAGCTACGTGATTGCACTTCGCGACGCTGGCCCCGTTAGAGGTATTGTATTTATATTACCTACACGCAAGGCTTTGTGTGCCGATCTTGCCTTTTAAAGTCTGTTGAACTTGATTCAGTAATTCATTTGTTTGCGTTGTTTGCTATTTTTTAAGGTATCGATGAGCTTTTTGAAGTACAGGGGATCCCAATCTAGGTGTTGCGCGTGGTTCGAAACCTCGCGAGCTGCCTCGCTTGCACCCTCGACGCGTTCGGGAACTCATTTCGCGTATGGTATTTCCCGTGCTTGAGGCGTAGGCAATACCGTATCCTTAGGCTTCAATGGCTGATAGAACTCGGGGAAATGTACCGAGGAAACAGTTTAAGAGCGTGGTGCGTCCTGAGCGAGGCGGCTCGCGGAGATCCAAGCCCGCCGATTACGACAATTAGATGGGATTTCCTATATTTGTTCTCGTTAAGCTCGCTTATAACTTATTAAGCCTTCCAAATGAATGTAGACGGGTCAACTGCTTTGTATGTTTACTATATGCGATAAATCGTTGTACCACAAACTTCCGGTTACCGTCAGCTTTCTGAGAAAAACCATGTAAATTACTGCAGTCGTTCCACAAGTTTGCGCTGCTTTCGGGTCAGCTTTCTTTTCAACTGAAATAATGTAGATTGAGGGTCAGTGTACCTCAACGTTCGCAAAACTCACTTTATTCACCTTCTTTCTTGCATCGTCATCTGTGATAGTCATGTCATTCTCGATCTTTTCAGCTTGTTCCAAAAAGTCCTTCACTGCTTGATTTGCTCCAGCCTTCGATAGTACTTTATCATACTGTGCTTTACGCCGTTGCTTTGTCCTTTCCACTGCAGTTGCATAAGCTCCCTGTAACTTATTCAGCTGGCCCTGTTTTTCTTGTAACTGCGCCTAAACAAAATGAACTGACAAACCTTTGTTTCCTCGTTTTGTATTTTAAGAATCACCTTGAGAATTTCTTCCTTCGTAGTGCTAGAAAGCTTCACTTTCGAAAGATAAGACAGATACAAATAGGAAACTACCGGTTCAGATGACCATTATCTCTGAGAGCCTTTAGCAAATTTCTGTCGCTTTTGTGTTTCACCAAAGATCTGAGCTCATCAACGAACACTGGATCATACACGGCGCTAACGATCCAAACACCTATGAGGATCACCAACAAAGCAGCTTGCATTCCTGAAGAAGGTAGACGTAGTTATAGAAAAGAGCTTTTACGAAGAAGGCAACACAAGACTGGCAATGCTATAATGGGATTCACTTCTTATATTCATGGTTGATTTGAATTTTCAGCCATCCGCGCCATCTGCTCAAAAGATTCGTTATTTACTTAATTATTCATTTATTCATTCAATACGCTTTAGACGTTCCTTACAAGAGAAAAAAAAACATGTTGCGATGTGAAGCTTTCACTATCGATCTATATCTAAGTATCAAAAAAGCGCAATTCTTCTAATTACATTGATTGATATACAATATACTTGGGTCCCGAATCAAATAGAAATTTGATCATTCGAATAAAACATTCGAATATATTCGTATTCGGAATTCGATATTCGGAGCTCTTCCATTTTCGAATGATATTCGAAACTCGAATAATTTAGGAAATTGGGTTTCAAATAAAATTCGAAACTCGAATAATCAAAAACAGGGTTTCGAATAATATTCGAAAACTCGAATAATCAAAAAACGAGGATTCGAATATTATTCGAAAACTCGAATAATGAAAAAAAGGGGGTTTCGAATAGATATTATGCGAATGTTTAATTCGAATGTTTTATTCGAATGTTTATTCGAATTCGTATTCGAATGAACTCCGTATTTAGATTATTCGACTTTGTTGCTAAGCCAAACTGCATCAAGCTCACTTCGTCCGCTTTTTTTTTCGCAAAAATCGGTAATGCATCTTTTGCAACCGTTATAACTTTGAACTGTGTGGAGAGTCGCATTCTTCCGACTGCTTGCGACAGTAAAAAAATCATATGTGGATTTTAATTGATGCTTTTTCGATCAGTGAGATTGTTCGCTCTGCTAATGGCACCAAATCAGTAAAAAAAACAGCTATAAAATTGAGCTCATGTTCCAATATGTAAGAATGACAACGCGCAAACTCAAATGTAGAATTAAAGAACACATCTACCAATCAAAAAAGAATGACATAGACAACTTTCTATACAATCACTTCAAAACATGTTGCAACAAAAAAAATAACCATTAAAATATTAGGTTGGCTAATAAATAAGTTCGGTCGCTTTTTAGCTCTTGCAAATGCTGTAGACAGATTTTTGTACAATGTTTGGCATCTCTGGAAAGAGCCTTCACTGGGTATCGGAGCATATATTCTGTTTGAGTAAAACTTATTTTCTAAGGAAAAAAAAAACCGCAAGGAAGTGAGAAACACCCATTTTCTCATAGTGCACAGATATGAGAAAATTTGGTTTTCTTAGTAAAACATTTCCAAAGTGGCAGATCACAGTTCTTTTTGTTGTTCACTAAATAGGGAAAACTGCACTGTATCTTAACACCAAACTGCTGTTCTTTACATCCATTACAGCACGAAAACGAAGCTTAGGAAGTCAAAGGATTGAACTTTTGGAAATTTTGCCATGTTGAGGCATAACTGTCTTCACTGACGATAGAAAATCCTGGTTATTTGATATGTGATAGAGGAGGCTTCGAGCTACTCTCCCACGAAAAATCGTAGATTGAAACCTACAAGAAAAATTTTTATGATGATTTGTATGCCAAAACGAACTCATTTTTTAGCCAACCCAATACTAGACAGTCTTCAAAATAACGAAAATAAAACTATGTTAATGAATAAAGAATTGTTTTGGATCAAATTACTCAATACTGCATACCCATTCGGATTGAATGATAAAATAAAAGGTTATGGAAACATATCTGATATTAATAATGCTCTCTTATGTCGGGACGCAGCTAAGCGCCGACTGCTGCTCTACCGTAAGCTGGCCGAGAAGGTCAGATAGGAGCCAGTGATCGTATATACGACTGCGCCTGCGACTGCGCCCCGTAAGGCTGCTTAGTCTGTCTTCTCCCTTCCCCTCTATTGTGATATATGTAGATAATAAATATATATATATATACCAACCTGTACCGCTACACATCAGGTAAGGGGATCGCGAACCCTTAATCTTGACATGGAGGTCCCAGGGAAGATTCCTTTTTTTAGAATACTACAATAATTTTTTTCTCTCCTTAACTTTTGATATGGAAAAAAACTTACCCCCCCCCCTCTTTACAATTCGATCGATCGTTATGGACGTCACCAACGAACAATTGTGTGTGAGTGTTTTTTTTTCTTTTGCGCATAATATATTAACCGTGTGAGTGAAATATTTAGTCTCCGTGTGAGTCAAATATCTAACCTTTTCAGAAAGAAAAAAAATATTAAACAAAACTAAATAAAAATTATTTATACAGTCCTGCGAACAGTCCCATTTTGTCAATTCTTTCTTTCGTACAGCGCTCGCATTTTTCGTGATCCGTGATTCCGTAAATCCGTGAATCCATGAATTTAAAAGCGCATTTAGCAGCCGTGATCCGTGACTCCGTGAACCCGTAATTGCAAATCCGTGAATTAAAAAAAAAATTGCTGTGAAACCGTGATTCCGTGATTTTTTTGTTAACTTATTCTTATTTTTCTTTTTCCTATAATTAGACAATGGACTTGTTCGCAATTGCTAGCTAAAAATTCATAACTGCAGTATTAGACCCAGAAAGATAAATCTGCTGGCCCACTGCAGATAACTTCTGCTGGGAAGTGTCGACCAATTGTAATGCTTCGAACTCTCGGGCAATTTAGCAAAATCAATGCTACTGTCCGCGCGCGGTGACCCCCTTTTGGCTAAAAAGCAACGAGACGGCCCTCGTAAGTTGTAAGCATGTGACCCGCGACAAATATTTTTATTTGAGGGAATGACCTTCCAGCCCGATAGCGCAAGCTCGCTTCTGCTTTGTGTCGCGATAAGCCTTGGAACAGGATTAATAATTGCGTAACATCCTCTTACGATTATGATATACGGCTAGTAACAACAGTTGCACGGTATGACCCCTTAGCGTCTGTTCTTATACAACTTATACGGCCGACAACAACAGTGTGCCTGATAAGCCCGCTGCCGTATGTCTTAGGCAACTTATATTATCGTAATCATTACTTTCCGCTGTCGAATAAAACAAAACATGCAAAGTTCACATTTTTTCAAACATTTAGGAACAATATTATGTACCGTTTAGCAAGGATGGTACACCCTGAATGCCAAAAAAAAGATCGACAGCTTCATTAATGTTCCGCGCCTCGCAGATAACATTAGCACTCAAATCATTCTTAGCGCAAGATCGTACTTTTGAAGATCTACCGCGTTTTGCTACAATTTCCCATCTGTAGAATATGTTCCAGAAACAAGGATTACACAAACAACGACAATTATGATGGTACGATGCGAAGCTGCAATTACAGAACCGGCTATGGCATGATCGGCTATAACCTTCCAAGCGTACTCCGGGAAGAACGTCCGAACTAGAAACTTTGCAACGTTAAGACGATTGAGCGGAGAGATTGTGTAACTTCTTAGAGTTATGTGTAGCGATTTACTAGTACAAATGACGATAATTGTTGGTACTCCCACTGTGAGATATAGTATATATACTCCCAAGGTTTATTGTAAGGATCGATTCGTCATGACTATGTTTTAGCCTTTTCTCTCTTTTATAAAGTGTCCGTTCATGAACTCTCGTTCTCTCATGTTCTCTTCTCACTCTATGGTGGCTATGCATTTTATTTAGATCCTCTTCATTGGAGTTAAGTTTTGCAATTCATATAGAATTTCTCTTGTTATAGTTGAATGTTGATTTAGGTTCGAGGACCTCCTTTTGTTGACCTAATAAATTGTTGTTGGGAAAGAGTGTTAAGGTTGGCCAATTAAGATAATTTCGAATCATAATAATCAAAAGAATAGTGTTGATGAATTCTTTCCGCTACGATGACTACGAGAACTAGGCCAAAACCTTACACATCCATTGAACAAACTTCGCATAAAACATGCAGTTTTTTCTCTGGAGTAAGAGTAAGAAATAGCATTCTAAGCACTAAAACATGCCTTAGTGGATGCGCTTGTCTTAGTGCTTCCTATTCTAGGAAAACCCTATATCATCCACACCGATGCATCAACCATCGGTTCCGGCGCGTGCCTTCTACAAGTCAATCCGGAGACTAGTAGTGTATATTTGATCGCACATCGCAGCCGCCGTTTGAAAAGGCATGAGAGAAACTACGCAACTTTTGAGTTAGATTTTCTACGGTTGCCAATAGTTCCACAATGTTGATAACTGATCACGCTAGCAAATCGGTTATGCATAGATCATATCTCGTGTCATTTAAGCCCAAGAGCAGATACGCATCGTCTTTTTCAAGTTACTCATGTAGATTGATAGCCTCAACTTTGAGGACACTCATTGCTGCTGCTTGAGATGGAAAAAAATCCAGTAGTCTTTGTCCTTCGAATCTACAGTCACAATAACGCGCTTCCACATTGTACCCAAAACTGCGTTCTTACATATGCAAGTGCCAAAACAGCTGATCTTGTTTATAAATGCGATCAATTCTGTCGAATACTCTGCCATATGCATTGATTTTTAGACGCTTGAAATTGAAATTTTTAAATTAGTTCACACTTTGGAGTACAAATTCAAAAAAAAAAAATTTCATGATCTGAGTTATCTATCTGACATCCTCTGCTTCTGACAATCACACTCGTTGAGCTATACTTATAAGTAGTGACATATCATCGAATTCTTATCAAAATTATGGTCTTTTACTTGTGATTAGATGGTAGTAAAAAAAGCGCAACGAGTTGAAATCTTATATCCTTTAATTTACATTGCTCCAAGGCTGGAAATGTCAGATATGGAGATGATAATATTGTTATCACATTTGCGGTAGCACCTTTTCCTCAAAAAAAAAAAGAATTGGCATACTTTCAGCTTAAAAAGCCCGAGAATTCTACAAAAAAATTAGAACAGCGTTTTTTTTACCAAGTGATTAAGTCTTCCTTGAATGATTGAAAGTGATTATTTTTGAGTTTTATAGAATGCTCTTAATCACATTTTTTTGCGCGTACTACGTCTACTTGTTAATATTTCGAGCCTTCAATCAATTTCCTCTTCAACTCAAACTGCACAAACATTTCTTTGATGAGGAACGACCCGAT